AGAAGAAGAAGAAGAAGAAGAAGAAGAAGAAGAAGAAGAAGAAGAAGAAGAAGAAGAAGAAGAAGAAGAAGAAGAAGAAGAAGAAGAAGAAGCATGAAGTCTTGTTCCTGGCTATCCCCTTACTTTGGTCTGCTTTTGCCCTTCCAGAACAACTGAACATTCAGCCTTGGTAGATCCTAGTCTGACTTAGGGTGACACTGAGGAGAGATTCAAAGAGTTATGTTGTGAATTTTTAAAAACAAATTATGACAGCTGTTTATAAATAGCACAGACAAACAGTTTTCCAGACTCTGAAAAAATCTCAGGGAAAATGATTGAAATGAAGGAGGATCTTTTGGTATTCTTCCATTCCAGCTATGGAAATTGAGGTTGATTTCACCCAAGTATTTGGCCACGCAGAGAACTATCCAAAAGGTAGGAGTCCAAATGCCATAGTTCAAGTACCTCAGTTTATGTGTTGGTAGAACCACTGAGTTAGCCAATGAAGTATGACTTTTACTTAGAAATGGACCAAAATTAAGAGATGCCCCACTTTTTAAGATATGATCATTGCGATAAGAATTCAAAGCTTTTCTGACAATAAAAAAATTTTTAGGCTATAAGCATATTTAAACAAGAAATTATAAACACATTTTAAAAAATGAGTATCTTAAGAGGTCTGGGATTAACCTCAAAAATATTAAATTCCAACACCAGTAATATATCACTATTTCATGACAGTTCAGAATTGTTCTGTAAGCTGGAAACAGGACACTTTTCTTAAAACACAGCCTTATTATTTGTTAACAATAATAACATAATAAAGCATTTTAAGCAAAGTTTTAGCCCAGTCATCCTTAATAAATGCATAAAAATGCCCTTTAGAACCAATATTTATTGATTATAATCAGTTATTGAGTTAGAGACCTAGTCAGTTTGCTAAACTTTTTATCAAATAAGATGTATTTGAAAGTCCCTAATGAGTGGCTCCTTCTGTTTCAGATCTTCGGCATGATATTCAGCATGGTCCTTTGCTGTGCAATACGAAACTCGCGAGATGTGATTTGAAACTACTTCACCATGAAAACTGCAGTCTAAAGCTGTCATACTAAATGTCACGAGAGCTATTTCTCAGCTTCTTTTTAAAATCCAGAGGACATTAGGATCTAAAGTAATTTGCTGTCAGTTGTACATTTGCACATGTGTGTACATCTGGGTCCTTACTGGTTTGGCCCTTGAGTGAATGAACGCTTGTGTGTGTTGCCTGAGAATGTGTTCACTGTAATCTGTGTGTTTCTGACAATGCATTACATCTGACGAAATCTGCTTGCTGAATTCCTAGAGTTCTTCTTATGTAAGAGGAACAATCTATTAGAAAAAGATCAGAAAGCTCTGGGGACACTTTAAAAACCTGGCTATTCATAAGATGTAATAATGAACCAGTTTCTTAGACTTCAACCATGAATTAGCTACAGAAAATTAAAGGATTTCTAGTTAACGGAAGCAATAAGCTACAGGAATTAAGTCCCAGTATAGTGTTAAAAATGACTATATCTGAGTGTAAGGACTTCCTGAGACTTTAATTTTTTTTTTTTTTTTTTTGGTACCAGGAATAAACTCAGGACTTCACACCTGCCTGATAGGCACTGTGCCACTGAGCTATGTCTCCTACTTTTGGGATTTTTATAAATATATGTCCTTCGGAGAATACAGTAAACTGTAGTTTTAGAACTAAACACATCTGTAAAACTAAATACAGCATGGAAAAATCTAATTTGAATAAGTCATTCTTTACTTGTACTTAAAAAAAAAAAAAAAAGCCTCCCTCTGGAAAGAATAGTTACACAGACAATCATGTGTTCTATAAAAGTGAGTGATTTTTAGGACTCAAAAAAGCATTTAAGCACTTTGTAAAGAAATATTTTTGTTCTTATACAAAGATATGGAAGTATTCTTTATCTCTTTCCTTTTCTGATTCTTCTCTTAGAACTACTGCAACCCTCACATTCTCAAAAGGGCTTTTATCTCATAGTCCTCTGTGTATCTCCCAATATAAGGAAAGAAAAACTAATTCGGCAGAGGAAAAGACTAATTTTACTGACATTGTATTTTTGAAATACCTCACAACCTGAGTTTACAATATTTGCATGATTTTTTGTAGTTTTCTTATGTATTCACCCAGAGAATTCTTCATACTTTAAGAGCTACAGTTTCACCACTTAGAAAAAATAAAAGTCCTGCATATTTAGATAATATTTCATGAACATCTTTGGGTAAACTACAATAAACAGAAACATCTTCTCCTAGTTATATACAGCCTACACAACAGAGACAAGTTGAAGAAACAAACACATACACACACATAGACAACACAGGTACATTTTTCTGTGCAAGTCCCCTATAAAAGTAAAATATTTTAATCTTTTTTGGTGTTAATTTTTTATTATAAGTGGGTAACCCAAACCTACGACCTAAATTGACACATTTGTCAGCAATGTTTAACAACTTGTTATGCTTCGTAAATCAGGGATTTTTTTAAACTGCATTTTAAAAGATCACACAAAAGTGGAACTATGACAAACTTTGGAAAATTCCAAGTGTCCAGGCTTCTTGTACAGAAGAAGACAGGGTTTAGGTGTACAATAAGAGAAAGGGCCATGTTTCCAAGAAACTTAACATTTTTCTGAAAAGACAGAACTGTTTGAAATAGTCTTATCCCCACATAACAGTGCATTTCTCTTTTGGCCATAGTTGCTACTACTGCTAAATTTAGAGAAGACTTTCCTGGGGGAAAAATGATTGGAAGCAATCTACAAGTTTAGTTATGCATAGCTGTATATACTTTTAAAGAAAAGATTTTGTTTTTTAAGAAAATCACTTAGATCTCACAAATGTAACCTTTGAAGCAAAGAACAGCCCATTTCTCCTAGTAGCTTTAGTTTGTCTTTCTGAAGACAAGGCTCAAGGGTATACTCAGGTTCTTCTAGCTCAGAATTGTCCTTGGTCCCCCAAAAGTGAGTTGCATTCCTTACCCAAGTTAATGGCCTTAAGAAGAGTACAGTAGTTAAAAGTGGAAGAATAGAAATAAAATAGGTTTTTAATGTTTTTTAATTTTTTGAAAAAGGAAGAAACTAGAGATCTGTTTAATATATAATTAGCATGTCTCTTTAGGGCAAGGTTTTCCAAAATATGTCCCATGAGTAAAATTAGAGAATTCTACCACTAAATGAAGATAAATTTTATACCCACATTCACCACATAGGTAGTTTTGTATAAATATGCAGATATATATTTATATAATATATTTACATATATATCTGTATATGAATATAATATATAACATTATATGTATGTATATTAAATCCTTGTATGTATTAAATTCATTTACATCTTGACTATGTATCTCTTGAGTATATATATATATAATTTGAATACATGTTCACATAAAGTTAATTCTGCCTACTTGTACTAATTTGAAATCAAACTCAAACATTTTCTTAAGCTGTAGATGCCAAGGCATGGTTTAAAATATCTTGATGATGGAATCTTTTAAATTATTTCAAATTCAATGTTCAATATACTGGAATAGTTTGAATTATCTTAATATCCCAGTATAGGGCCAGGAATGTCGCTCAGCAGCACAGCACCTACCTGGCAAGTGCGAGGCTCTGAGTTTGACTCTGGCATCAAAAAAAGGCAAAATCCCAGTATATTTTTCTATAGAACTTCATGCTACTTATTTACATGTCAACTGCCAGTTAACCCAAATAATATTATAAAATATAAATCAGACCATTGACCCTTCTATAAAATTATTGGGAACTGAAATTAAAAGTAATACCCTAACGACTTTCATTTCACATAGTTGTATTTCAGCTAATACTGTTTCACCCAAATTCTACCTCTTTTCTCCACCATAGCTTCTTTGTTATCCATGGCTTCATCTGTAAAACTGTATTGGTTGTGAGTCTGGTGTTTTGTAACATCCGTGCAATCAGCAGCAGTAGTTGCTCTCCTTTTCCTGTGAGCAGTGCAGGTAAGTTTGGGTAGGTGAGAAGGAGGCTGGTGGGAGGATGCCAATGAGGAAAGATCATTTTTCCTTCTGAAATAAGTTTATCAAAAACTAAAAAGAAAAGCCACCATCTATCACAGGTGAAAGGCAGTGTCCCTGACCGTAAGGGCAATCACTGGAGTTTCAGCAGGCGTACTATGCCCCGACCTTACTGGTTCACAGTTCCCTTGGTCTCCTGTCTGACCATCAGCTCCTCAATCCCAGCAGTACCATTTTCCATCCCTTAAGATGGACTACTTGTGGGCCCTTGAAGCTAGCTGGGTTTGATTTCATCAAAATCAAATATGTTTTCATTTATATTTTTTAAAAGAGATAAAAGTTGTCTTTCTTTCAACATGAGCCTTCGTTTTTTTACAAAAAAATAAATATGCAAGGGATTATATAGTTGTAATTTTAAAGGTGAAAGACTACACAAGAACAGAACATCATTAATTTTTGATATTATCAAAACAGCAAAGGCTAAATGCATACAGGGATAACTCTTGGAAACAAAGCATGAAAAACAGAAGGAGCATATGTTGCAAAATGTAACATGATGTTACAGTGCTTAATGTGCCAAAAGCTTTGATATTTAAATGTTTCCCCTATATAATTTATAATGTTTCTACTTACATTAAGTAGCAGAAACCTAAAATAAATTCAAAGTAATACAGTGGTACCTTGATTCACAAACAATTTGTTCCATGATTCTGAAAAAGATGGCACCTTCATGTTCATGTGAGAAAGATGGCCACAGTTGTATTTGTCGCATGATGCAGAATAAGCAAACAAGAACAAAATTTTGCCAAAGGCTTTTGTTTTCAAACCAAACTAATCACAAACAAAAGCATTCAGGAAACGAGATACCTCTATAATCAATACAGAGTGCATAGTACACCTAGCAACTAGTGATATTAGCTACTATTGTGTTGATAGGAAAGGAGAATTTTGTCAAATATAAATAAGTTTTCTAAAACTGAAAAACTAAAAAATATACTTCCGTATGATGCCAGTTATCTATATGAATACATTCATTTGTTGAGTGACTTCTCATACATTTCACAATTCTAATTTAAAAACTTGACATCCATGGGCAAAGAGAATCCTGTGCTTTTCTGTGGGTTGCTCTACTTTGAAAGATGAAGCCCATACAAGTATTGAAATTTTTTTAACTTTTCAATTTCTATTTTATGCATTAAAAAAAATTTATATTGGCCTCAGATTCACCATCCTCCAGCCTCACCCTCCTCAGTGCTAGAATCACAGGAAGAAAAAATTTTTGTAAGAATATTGATATGCAGGGGCCTGCCCCTTAGCTCAGTTCTTTAAGTGGCTGCTTCAACAAAGCAGTCAGACTCAGGTTGCTGTGGTTCGATCTCCAGAACTCAAGCCAGCCAAACCTGCCCTGAAGGTATTCAGAGCCAGCCAAAAAAAAAAAAAACCTTCTGCCAATAATGTTGATATGCTAAGATCAGTGAGACAAGGAGCTTAGAGTAAAGCAGAGCAAGCCAGTGCATTGAAACAAATATCGTGTTAATCATTAACTCAGAGTGGGGTCTGCTCAAGACTTGGGGAGAGTAATCATGATAGGGAGGTTTCCTGGATGTTAAAGTCTCTAAACTTAATTTTGAAGTACTCTTCCAATGAGCCAAGTCCAAAGTGGTAGTGTGATGAAAGAAAAAGAGAGTTCCAAGGAAAGCATGCAAGAAGACCCTGAAACAGCATGAAAATATTAAAAGGGGCATGCCAAGAGCTCAAGAGATACAGGGCCCTGAGAAACTGTACCTAAGAAGTATTATCTTTGAATTGAGGTCATGGGGAAATTTTTGCACAGTGTGTCTCATTTTGGAGACGAGTGAGGAAGATCAAACTTGAATTTTTTAAAGATCATTCAGCCTCAGTATGAGGAATGGATGTAAGGCAAAACCAGTGTCATAAGGATTTCTAAGGTGTTAAAAAACTCTGCCACGAAGTAGTCGTAAGAGAAATTAGATGTGAAGAATGAGAAAAAGAGCAGAATTTAAAATAATTCTCAAGTTTCTGGTGTGGTAAGAAAAATAATAATGCACAGGAAGAAAAGCCAATCATATTGTGAATATAAGAGATGACTGCAGGACATCCAAGAGGAAAACAGACAGGCACCCAAGGCATAGCCCTTCTGAAGCTCAGAAAAGTTAAGGCTAAATCTCTAATTCAGGATTCTTCTCCATAAAAGTGACAGTACACAGATTGGAACAAGAGGAGTGCCCTCATAATTAAATCCCCAGTGAAAAATTAAAGTTTAAAAGATAAGAATCCTCTACTCCAGGAAGTTGTCTATAATAATTTTTTCCTCCCTACTCATTTCTTTTTTTAATAATTTTATTGAGAAACAAATAGCAATAAGACAGTTTCAAAACTGATTACTTGCACAGTTTCAATAATTAATACATCGCATATTGTTGTCTTAGTGGTTATTCATCGTACAAGATGCAGGCATGATATCCTCTCCACAAACACTGTTAGAACAAATCTTTCTATTCATTGAATTAACAGAAAGTAGCTGTATATCTATCCTAACTACTTTGAATATACAAATACAAAATGGTCTTATTCTCAGGATGGAAAGTCTCTTGGTTGTCCCTTCGGTAGCTGCCACCTAACACCTAAATGTAACAACTCATTAAGCAGGAAAGGAAACTTTCTTTTTCTCTTCCTCCTCCTCCTCCTCCTCCTCTTCCTCCTCCTCCTCTTCCTCCTCCTTCTCCTCTTCCTCTTCCTTCTCCTCCTCTTCTTTCTCCTTCTTGTTTGTATTAGTGCAGGGTCTATAGGGTCTCACTACACAGATTAGACTTATAATGATCCTCCTGTTTTCAGCCTCCCAAGCCCTGGGATTACAGGTGCACGCCACAACACCCAGTCTCAATTGCCCTCTCAGAGCACCCCGGAGGTGGGACCAGCATGGCACACTGGAATCAAACTCCAGTCCCTAAATCTGCCTAAACAGGTACTTTAACCCACTGAGCTATCTGGCCAGCCCTAGAATTCTCCATTTTCAAAAATAATGTAGTGTAATTCGAATGCATCTAATCCAAATGAATTGTTGTCAATGGGAAGAAGAAACTGTGCCATGATCCCACTCTAAGGTTCTATGGCTCCTGATAGTACAGGCCCACCACAACTGAGTCTAGGCCTAACTTCTCCACAGGTTGAGGAGACATATTTAAATAATTAAGTAAACAATTAAAATCTCTGAGCTAGACTGTTTATAAGGGACCTCTTTAAACCTTTTGGCCTTTATGTAGTTCAAGTCTTTGAAAACATTTTCTCTGTATCAGTGAAAGTCATTTGGGGGCTGGGGATAGCTCAGTGGCATAAATGCCTGCCTGGCAAGCACAAGGTCCCAAGTTTGATCCTCGGTACCACATGCCCCCCCCCAAAAAAGAAAGTCATTTGGACTAGTGCTAGATATGTTGTAAAATTAGATCTTTAACTTATCAAAGGTATACATTTGATGAACAGTTTTAAGGGGTGGGCAGCTTTATGTGTTCATATTGTCAATTGATATGAAAACCTAAAGTCCAAGATTAATATTTGGAAATCAGGCAAGTATCTATTCAGATACTGAGGTAAAAATAAGTACTGTACATTCCTGACACTTTTGCATGTAAATGCACAACTGTTTCCCAATATTGGCAAAACATGGTTTGGTGCTTTGATACTAATTTATCTGTACTACCTCTCTCTCACAAGCATTGACATGCATTTACAAGATGCCCAGCTGAACTTAACCAGTGGTTGTGAGATACAGCAAAGCCAAAAATCTTGCTGATAATTGATTTTCACCTTAATGATGGCAGTGTTGCTAGACAGTAAAGACCAAATAGAGGATAAATAAACCTCTTCTAAGGATTATTATGACCTTTCAGGTCAAGTCTGTGTGGCATTACAAATGTCTCACTTCCAGCATCTGTTGCAGCCAAACTCTCAAGAATGAATATCTAAAGAAGGAGAAGAAAATGCAACATTTTCTTGCCAAGCATCTTCACCAGAAAACATTTTGAACCTACTAATTCAGATTTAGATTGGAAGTGAGGATTCTTCTACTCCATCAAATCTCTTAGCACTCTCCCCCATTCCTAAAACCTTTCATAATTGCACTAGTTTTTCATGATACAAAAGCTGAAACAGGACAAGCTGCTGCTGGTATCAATGCTGGCAAGTATCTCCTATTACTGATGGACTATGAAGGATTTAGACTTCACGTGTAAAATGATCGTGTCCTCTTTTCTGGGCTTTGTAAATTGACCTTTTGGGATATAACTTTCACAGGGCAGTTGGCCCACTGGAGTAATTAAATTAAAGAGAACAGTTCAGAGTCTTTGCTGAGTTTTGGAGTTTTAGCCAGTATGGTTGAATTATTAAGATAAAGTAGTCAACAGGGCAGGTTTCACATGTTCCTGACTCCCCACCTCCACTCCAGCCCTGCTTCCAGCCTTTGGATGATGTCTCTAGCACCCAAATGCTGCATGTTCCTTCAGCCTCTGATCACACTGCTTTTCATAATTCTGTTAAAAGAGCTCCTCACAGCTGACTTTCATAGCGCTTCATGTCTCTGCTGCCCATCTTAGCCCCACTTTGCTTTCTCATATGAAAACCCCAAAGGATCTTTCACCTTTTCTTTTAAAGTCTTTTAAACTCTCTGATACATGTGTGGGTGTGCATATGGTTGAAACAGTACTTAAAATGCATACAAGGTATTGTGAAACATAGTCATATTTTATTATTTTATTCCAGATAAACACACTTAACTAAATTGCAGATTATCTAATTATTAAAATTAGACAGAAAATCCCACCAGATAGGACTTCTGAGGTTTGGTGCAGTAGTTTGTCTTGGTGGCCTCATGGATACAATCACTATAGTCAGTGTTACATTTGCCACACTTGCAGCTGACAGCAACTGGGTAGGAGAAATAAGGGGCAACATGGCGCGGACATCCTGGTATCTCCACGGTTCTGTAGATGAAGTCTCTATAGGTACAAACATTCTGGGAGAGAGCGTTTTTGGGAACAGTGAGCTTGCTGTTGCCGTCCTGAGAAAATAATAGAAAAGGGAGCATGATACAAAAGGAAGTTAGAAAAATATATAAAGAAAGGAAACACAGGCTTCTATTTGTTGCAAATACAACTAGGGGATGATTCCTTAGTCTTAGTTTCCGATACCAACTTAACATATCTAGATTAAATCCTACAAAGACAAAAGTGATACCCTCCTGTCTTATCCTTTATCATGGGAACAAAATAAGGTTTAAATACATCTAATTCGTAAAATTTTTATAAATTTATCTGTACCCATTTTGCTGAGTAGATTTACATAATATTATAAACTATATGCTCTACTATTTAAGGAGATAACTTAGAAAATAAAGTCATGTTTTATCTCATTTCTTTTCCAGATAGGAATGAACTGATTCTACATTTATATAATTTATAGTAAAAGAAGGGTGATGAGCTACCTACCCGTGTTATACAATATCCAGCACAGATGGTGGTGTTGATGGTTAGACAGTAAGCACACTCTCTTCTATCGATGTGCATTGTATATTCAGTTGGAATACAAAAAGATAGTGCTTGCCCACATGCAAGACCAAAAAGCAATGACATCAGGAAGATGGCAGGCATGCTAAATCAAAGATAAAATTAAAGAATCTATTACATGTATCCTTTCAGGACATTCAGAAGGCCCATTTTGGAAAAGCTTATATATAAACATACACATAAAGGGACAATAGTTAAAAAACAATTGCCATCTATTTTATGCCTACTTTGTTCTAGGTCCTATGTCAAGTGTTTTTACATATTTAATACTATCAAACTCTCCTAATGTATGCTTAGAGCTAGCTATGACCCACGTGGTCCACAGTGGAGCTCACCTAGTGGAGGTACTGCTAGCAATGCCACTGAACTGCACTGAGCAGTGAATTGGCATGCCCAAAGCATCACAACAGAAAAATGGTGGAAATACATCTATCAGCTAAATATAAGACAATTCATTCTGTGGAAATATAACCCAGATACCTGCCTTTTAAGAAGTTAACAATAATGCTTCAGTAAGGGACTTCCCAAAATTGTAGTTTTCTCAAACTTTTGGTATAATAGTTTAAAAGGCCAACAAACTTTCTAGCGTAAGTGAAAAAAAAAAAAAAAAGAAAGAAAAAGAAACAAACAAAACAGCACATTCAAATGTCAGTACCACCCCAATGCCATATAATTCCACCCATTTCTGGTCAAGGAAGATACCAAACAACTCGAGAGGTTCACAGAGAGTTAACTAAAATTACCACTGGGATGAAGGAACTAACTCAGAAATCTAGGAACCCTTTCTGAATCCTTAGGATCATTCTTTAAAGTTGAAAAGATGCAGAATTGGAAAAAATAAAAGATGATTTTACATAGAAAATATACAGCACTCATGATCTCAAAAAGGTAAGTAAAAAACATAATGAGAATAAAATAATGAATGCTGACAGGTCCACTATGGGTTAGCCAGAATCATGAAGTATCTTTTGGCTCCATGGAAGACAACAGAGTGTTCACTGTGCCCACAGCAGGAGCAAAACATGCATTTCAATAAACCTTGTCTAATGAAGAGCATGTTCCATATCAACTGGACATTGTGAGCTGGATAATGTCATAACATAATTATTTTAGTTCTGTTACTAAGAGAAGGTAATCAAATTTCACACTTTCAGATATAAATTGATCACCTCAAAGATTAAGATTTTGTTTTTCATTTTACCAATATTGTATGCCTAGCCAGGTCTGTTTAGATTTTTCTTCTCAAGTATTATTATCAATAAAGTAAATACATATCTTAATGGAATAATATTGATATATATCAACACAAAGTTCTTTGCTTAGCCTGTTAAACAAATTTTCACTATATTTTTATTCAATCAGCAGAAAGTATCAAGATTTTTTCAACTGTCAATTACATCCCAGCGGAGTCATTAAGTTACATACTCTAAGACCACTACTTACTGAAAACTCAAATACTTGACCTCCTATAGTAAGCCAAAATTGAGAACTTTGTCTTAACTAAATTTACAGAAAAAATAAAAACCACATTACCCAGGTTACCAATGAATTATTTAAAATGTCAATCTCCTTGGTTTATCTTGTTCTTAACCATCCAGCATAAAGGTAAAAAAACCAAAGTATAAGGGGTGAAGCCATGTGGGTATGCTGGGCTGTAAAGGGCTCAGGTCAACCACTTCTTACATTGCCAGTACTCCAGATGAACCACTACTATTATGGACTACAGGACTATATTGGAATATTTTGCTGAATTCCACACCTACGATATTTATTTATTTATTTATTTATTTATTTATTTATTTATTTTTAAATTTTTTTGGCTGAACCGGGGATTGAACTCAGGCCCTTGCGCTTGCCAGGCAAGCACTTATTCTACTGAGCTATCTTCCCGGCCCCATCCTACAATATTTAAATAACAATAGAATACCCTTCTCTGAAAAAACTAAACAAAAAAGGGGATACAAATGAATGACCATTTTGTATCTGTATATACAAAATAGTTAAGATAGATATACAGCTACTTTCTCTTAATTCAATGAGAAGAAAGATTTGTACTAATAGTGTTTGGACAGGATATCATGTCTGCATCTTGTACTATGAATAACCACTAGGAAGACAACAATATGCAATGTATTAATTATTGAAACTCTCCTACTAATCAGTTTTGAAACTGTCTCATTGCTATTTGTTTCTCAATAAAATTATTTTAAAAAAATAAAATGTCAACCTCTAAAGATTAATAGTCACTCTAACCAATCTCCTATTCCTACAATAAGAGTTGTAGATAAATTAGTTATATGCATATTGAATATTTGAGCAAGGTGTTGAGAGATACAAAACAGGTAAGAGAAGGTTCCCGGCCTAAAGGGCTGACAGTCCAGTAAAAGAGCTTAGTATAAAAACAAATTTTATAATATATATTATTTTGAGAGCACTGAAAAAGTCCAAATTATGACTGAGGCCTACAATTATCAAAAATTTCCAGGGCTAGCCAAATTGCTCAATGGACGAAAGCATCTGCTTAGGCAGAGCTCAGCAGCCAGGGTTTGATCCCTCATATGCTGTGCTGGCCCCACTCCCGAGGTACGCTGAGAGGGCCATTGAGACTGGGCATGGTGACGCGGGCCTGTAATCCCAGCATTTGGGAGGCTGAAAACAGGAGAATCACCACAAGTCAGATTTACTTAGTGAGACCCTGTAGACCCTATAGATTCTGTATCAAATATAGTAAAAAAAAAAAAAAAAAAAAAAATCCTCACCTTCGCTACATTTACTTGTAAATAGACAAACTCAACCATTTTAGGACAACAAAGTTTTTCTGTTGAACCCCTAAAATATTTTACATTCAAGCATTTCCTCGAGGGATTTTTGGTATTTCCATTAAAGAGAAAAATAAGAATTTCTATGAAATTTTTATTTGCCTTCTGCAGTGCTAGGATCAAACCCAAGGCCTCATGAACCTGTTCTACCACTGAGATACAACCCAAGTCTGAAAATATAAGAAACCTTTACTTGTGAGATCTGGCTTTCTCAAGTGTTTCACAAATGTGTGCTCTTTCTCTGGTATAAAGTTTAAGAGCCACAGACTTAGAGGATCCCCTCCCTGCAGGATCTTCAAAATATCAGTTACTCCAATTACATAAAATACTCATTCCATATTATCATATAGTTCTTGGCTCTTTGGACACCCATCAACTAAGTTTTACTAAAGGAAGTTATACTTCAACTTCTAATTCTACAATATAAAATATATGTGTGGTAATTTCTGACATTGCCAGTTAAACAGAAGACCCAATGCTATTATGGGCTACTGGACTCTTTTAGAATATTTTGCTGAGTTTACACACCTATAATATTCAATAACGGAACTTAGAAAAAATGGGGTATACCGATGAATGTCCATTTTGTATCTGTGTATTCAAAGAGGTTGGGATAGATATATAGTTGCATTCTCTTAATGAATAGAATGATTTGTTCTAATGGTGTTTGTAAATAGGATCACAAGTCCGCATCTTGTACAGCAATTAACCACTAAGAAGAATATATGCAGTGTATTATTTGTTGAAACTGTACTTCCGATTTGATTTGAAACAGTCTCATTGCTGTTTATCAATAAAACTTTGAAAAAAAAAAAGAAGACCCAATTAAAAAAAATAATAATAAAATAAAATATATGTGTGGTAAACTAGTGTTGAGAATATTGGTCTAAAAAGGAAAAGAATTTTCCCATGGATTTATGAGAAACTGACTAAATATTTCCATCTATCTGGACCTTGTTTCCACATCTGCAATTTAGAAATATTTTTTAATACTGTAGGATGAAAAATTGTGTTACAAATTTCATTGTTGATATTTGCAACTTTTCTTAAATTCCTCTAATAAATGCAGATCTTTAACAAAAGTATTAAAATATTAAAAAGTGATGAATTACCAGCCACATTAGTGGAACAACATTTGGGATATAAAATAGCCATTCTTTTTCTTTTACCTCTTTATTGGCTATAGTAAAAGTTCACCCACATAATCTTTCTGGACCTCAAATTCTTCTTCTATAAAAGGAAGGCTTAGAATTACAAGGTGATTATGCAAATCTATACAACACAAATAGTTTGTGATTCTATGTTCTAAATTAGCATTAGATCTTTGGTCTAAAAAACTAAAAATCTAGATTTCTGTTTCCAGAGTTAATTACAATTGTGTGTCAATGAAAAATTTGATATATTTTGCCCTCATTTTTCTATATATTCTTTCCTAATATAAAAATAACAAATGTGACACATTTGGAGTGCTACATAAGAAAAAGTATATAACTACATGATACTACATGACAAGGTATTAATTAGTACTTTCTCATATATCTGCCACAATTTCTTCATCACCTCATTTTCATCTCTGCAATTTAATTAACTCTTCTAAAATCACTATAAAGAATTTATTGAGCACTTAAAGACACAAGTCTTGGTTTTAGGCAGAACCCAAAAAACGAAAGATGGCCTGCCTTCTTCAGCACCATGACTAGGTATGTCCTCACTTTGAGTTCTTTTCCTTATTTCATAATAGATTCTTTCCTTTGTCCCTTTCTCTATCCTTTTTCTTGCTTTTTGCTCCAATTTTATTCTTAATAAACACACTTCTGTCTTCCTAGCTAATTTCCTTCACCAATCTTTTCTCATAGACTTATAACTCCACTATAAAAAAGAATGAAGATTTGTCCCATAAAAAATCCCAGAAATTCTTTATATTTTCCTAGACAGCAAGCTATACTATAAAGAAAATGTGTGTGTGTGTGTGTGTGTGTGTGTGTGTGTGTGTGTGTTGGATCCTATCCAATGTGATTACACTATTAAATAACCAAAAAAAAATTGTAATTAAATATATTACTTTAGTACCAAAAACTGACTTTTGGATTTCCTAGTATATTTTCATCAAAATGATCATTAGTAATGGAGAATATTTAATACACAGATTATTAAATTGACAAAAATTAGAATCAAAATGATAACATGAAAATTCATGCAATCAAACATCCTTCATTAGGAATTGGTCAATTATTTCTCTTCTTTTAAGGTGATTTTTTTTATCCTTATGTATATAGCTCACTCACCTTGACTCACTATTGAACAATTTGGAGCAATAATTAAAAATTTAGAGCCTAATGAAGGAAATTATCTCTTAAAATTTTCAATTTTTAAATATATGCTACAACTGTAGAAATAAAAGTAAATCAGAAGAAAAGTGTTTCATTTCACAGAGGCTTCTCAATATAGACACCTACCTTACTTTGCATTGGTGAGCTGATGCTGTGATGACCTAGACTCTTGGTTCATTTTATACCCTTCAGGATAATTCCCCTCTGATCTTCTTGTTTATATAATTGTATTTGAATTACTGCTTTCTTATCTGAAAAACATCTATTGAAAATTCATACCAAACCCCAAATAAAATGTGTTTAAATAAACAAGTTCCAATATCTTACCCCGGAAATTCTGACATTATTTTAGTATGCATTTTCCTTTCTCCTATTTCAAAATAAAATTATTCTTTTAAACATATCTTTTGTTAATATTAATAAAGGATAGCCACAAAATGGGATAAAACAAATAAAAAACATTATCTAAGGAAGTCTTGGAAATGAAAATTAGTTCAAGGCTTGAGTGCTCCAAATTTCACCTAACTGCTCATGTAGAGACATATAATTATTCCTCATCTAAAAAGCAATGACAACTTTTCATGTAAATCTAGGGCAACTGACCTACAAATTGCTGATTAAAAAATTTTAATAGTTCAAAATACTTTCTTTCTCTTCTATTTGAAAAGACCTGAAAGATAATGTATATTTGTGAATTTAAGTAACAAGGCCAAATCTGGCAGATGTCAAACTGACCTGAGATCAAATTCAGGACCTGCCATTAACTATCTATGACATTGGTGTGTTTGCCTCTCTTTATTTCAATCTCCTCACCTGTTAAAAAGTAATAGAAATGTTTCTGGAAGTCACTTAACACAATACCTGGCACAAAAGGACTCAATAAATGATTTATGATAACACAATATATAATTGTTTAATAAACATTTTAGTCACAGGGTTCATGATCTAGTAGGCAGTCAATATATATGTTGAATGC